CAGCTCATCCACTGCCCAGTGATGGACACCCAAGGGGCAACCGTCCAGGTCAGCTGGTGGTGGCACCTGGGGCTGCCCGACGTTTGGCGTGTGTGCTGTAGGGAGTGATGTGAAGATCAACATCTGAGGTCAGCCCAGGAGCACGGCAGGCACACCCAGTTCAGCAGGGGCCTCCCAGGCTCTGTGGGTGTTGTGAGGCCCACTGAGTCGGTTCTGACACATAGCGACGCCATGGACCCCAGAATGAAACAAGTGCCCGGTCCCTGTGCCAGAGCCCAGGGGCACAGCCGCGGTCTCCAGCCATCTCATGCATGGCCTTCCTCTGCTCCTCGCTTCCCCAAGCAGATGTCCTTCTCCAGGGACTGGTCTCTCCAGCCGACGTGTCCAAGAGACGGAGTCTAGCCATCCTTGCCTCTAAGGAGCCTTCTGCCTCTACTTCTTCCAAGACAGATTTGTGTGTCCTTTGGGCAGCCCCCAGGTACTGTCAATATTCTTCATGAGCACCCTCTTCTTCGGGCTTCTTTAGCTAACGTCCAGCTTTCTCATGTATATGAGGCATTTGAAAATACAACTGAGTGGGTCTGAAGAGATGGTTGTGTAATCGAAGGGTACATTAAAGAAATAGCAGATAGGTATGCAAGGGCTCACCTCTTCCATGGAGGCTGGGACCAGAGGGAGGGGGCGAATGTATTTTCAGACAGGCTTATAGAATCACCAGGCATGCAAGCTGTGTCATACACGTATGTAACAGGAAGGGCATATATTAGAGGCACACACGTAACAGGAAAGGGAGGGACTAGAGGCATACACATGACAGGAAGGCACATACGTCACAAGATGGGCAGGTTCTAGAGTCAGGATGGCAGGTTAACCTTGGTCGTCTCTGAGCTGGCTTGAGCCTCGGTGTCTCTGAGCTCTTCTCCAGGGGAGCAATCTATGATCCTTATCAGAAGGGAGTGGGCCCTACTTATGGTGGGACAGACAATAGGGTCTGATTGCTCTTGGTGACAGACAGCCTTCAGACAAGTAGCCTTCAAGCAGTGTGACCTTCAAGCATTTGTAGTAGCAACCCTGTGCTTGCAAGTACCTTAAGATTGGCATTATTCCAGGGGGACGTCTTGGGCATAACTTCTACTTAGGAAAATGTGCCTGGAACACATCTCCAACCCACAAACGTGAAGGGCTCCCTCCACAGAGTCCCAGCCTCCCAGACACCTTAACATAGAGAGTTTGTCCGCATACACTCTCTTCCTGGTTGATTCCTATAGGACGGCTCCATTCTCCTGGTCTGGCACCTTAGCTTTCTCCTTGCCCACCTGGTGTCTCCACCTCCTCTCTCCCCCACTCTGCGGCCCATAGCCAGGCCTTCTAGAACCTGCTCTGGAGAAAGCCTCCCTATCGAATGACCTACTCTTCTTCCCACTCCAGTCGATCTCTCTATACCATTGAACACGCTCCCCTCCTCTTATAATCACATTCTTTTTGTTTGTTTCTCTAAAGAGGGGATAAGAGCACAGGCATTGGGATCCCCAGGGATCTGAGTGAGTTCAAATCCTGACAAGGATTCCCTGCACTGACTTGGACGCTGGGCACATTAGACCACATCTCTGTCTTCATTTCTAAGGCAGGAACAATAATGCTGACCTCCTGGAAGGTGGTTGTGAATATTAAACGAGCCCGCCACCAGCCACTCCTCCTGAGAAAGGCGAGCCTTTCT